CAAGTTATTTTCTTGAAGAACATTAAAAACCAAGTATCAAATTCTTTCCATGAGGAGAGAACTGAAGAAATTTGCCACACTACCTAACAATTTTTCACAGAGGCACTTAGGGTCTCCTGATGGGCAGTTAGTGCAATCTGAGTCAATTTACCTCTTCTATGCTAATATTTATTGATGTAATTTTGCTGCCTTTGTTGTGAATACTCAAAATCTTCAAACGCAGAAAGGAAAGGAAAAAATTTCTTTTGCCATTTTCAAAATCCATGGCATACAAATGACACATGGTATTTATTAATTGCTCAGCTTTACATGTATTCAGCACATCCTGGAGAAAGGAAATTATAATTAATTCTTTCACAAAACTGATAACTTTAGTATGGTAATTCTACGAGAAATAGCAGCTCCGAAGCAAATAACTAATATTTATAATCTCAAAGCTCATTATAGTCAGGTGAATTATCTCTTTAACCACCTTTGGTCCAAGAGGATATATTATGTTGCCAGTGATCTTCCTTGTCATTGTACAAAGTAATTTAATTGAGTTCATAATAAATTCCTCTTCTGTTCCCTTACACATTTGATGTGACAAATGCAATTAATTTATTTTTGCAATATATAAATTTTAATAAAGTAAATAATATATGTCTCTCACAGTTGTTCTGCAACTCCTATAATTTGTTTTTATTACAGTTAATGTCTTTGGTATGGACAGATCAGAAATTAGTGAATTTCTGTAAAACTCCATAAACCTCAAACCCAATGCTGTCTTTACTTGTAAAAGCACAAAAAACTGACTCCAGTGAAGTCACCATGGTTCTGTTCTAGGCACATTTCTAAGGCTGTGCCAGGTGCAATGGAAAGTTACAATTTCACAACCTGACATCTTGTTCTTTTCCATAGTCAGCACGGGCTGCGAAGCAGGGAATGGAATCTTCTTACTGTCAAACCTGTGTGTGCACAGCTGAGAGCTGTACAAAATTACTGTCATATTCCTTCCTCACAGGTGATGAAGCAAATTATCCATATACTAAAATTAATCCTTAAATGATCCTAGTAAAAGAAAGAAGTCAGGCACAAAGCTTCTATAATGTAGCAAGTTATGTTGCATTAATTGAGCTATTGTGGTGAGCTTCATGCTTATTTTTATTATAGATGCAAAGTCACTTGAGTTAATTCAGCTATTTTTCAATGCAGCCTAAAATGTCTTGAATTACATCACCCTTCTGCCAGATCAGGAAAGTTCAACCTCAATTCAGCTGAAAAATTTGAACACTTGTTTCAGTTGCCCTTTTGTACAGAATATTTTGTTTGTATTTTACTTGAATAAATTAAGATACTTTAGAATCTCTGTATTAAATTTAACCTTTCTGAAGACTAATTTATGCTTATACACTTATGCACACTGCTTTATTTATTTTCTACCTGTAGAGATTTAAAATCTAATCATGATCTTGAGTATATAAAAATAGTACAAAATTCTGAGATATATAAAATTTGATAAGTAATACCAGTGATTCAGAATATCTCATATTATACCACTAATCATAAGTCTCCCCATGCACAAGATGGTTCTAAGCTGAACCAATACATCAACATGCTACTGTACATCAATAGCTTTCCAGCAACTGGCTTTGGAATTGTTTGCTTCTCTAAAATGAATGGGGAGTAGCCTTTCAGTCTATAAAGGGTAAGATTTCTTAAATTACCTCATAATTTTTAGGGGATAAGAGGGCACATAGACAATTATTGTGGAAAAAAATGTTGTGTAGTTCCTTATTCTGTGCACTCAAACTCCAGTTCCCAGTAGAGCTAAGCAGTATCACAGCCTTCCCTGTGGAGTACTGATGGGGAAAGAGAAAATTACTGTAAATTATTAGGGGACTTTAAAGTAAACAAGCATGGCAGAGCAGATGGAGCATCTTTTCCTTCTTAAAGCCCTACCTGGTTATTGCTAGAAGCATTTTTTTCTGAACTCATTCTGAGAATCATAAATTTCATCAAATAAGGATTCAATGAACTCATTTTATATAATTTCAGTGTATGTAAAAAGAATCTAAGGAGAACCTTTTCTTAGGTCTTTTGAACAGCAAAGATTACATGTGCTTTTGTGACAAAACTGAAAACAATAAAGAACTGAGAGGATATTTGATTTCCCAGATGCTAGATATATTAAGATATCCATCCTTTATAGCACCTAGAACCAAAAAATTATTCATAGAGAAAGTCCATATGAACTCCTTATATGATTCAGATAATTCCATTAAATGTCAAATGAGACTATGTGTATCTATATTGGAGTAAAAGCTGGCATTCAAGGTCATGTACTTTATTTATGCTGACTTCAGCAGTGCTAACTGTGGAATGCAGCAGAATTTGAGTGTGGCTCAGTGGAGCACATGGCCGTGGGCATCCTTGGCATGGGGAACTTAAAATATAAATGAGAATTTCAGCTTTCATTTTCCTATGAAGATAGCACAGAAAAGGAAACCCAGCTATTTCTGTGTGCAAGCTTATGGCAGCAAAACTAGGGCACCTGTGTGTAATGGTGTTGCTTACATTTTGTTCAAAGTCATAGGCTCTTCCCGTAAAAATTCACTGCTATTCCTTTCCTCTGTGTAATATATTTACTACTTAACATCAAGGAAGAAAATAATAATAAGCTTCAATACATACTCTCGACAGATCAAGTCAGAAAGAACAGCACATACCACATGCTGCTCTTCTGAACTGCACACTAAGCACCAAGAAGACCTCATAATTTAATGCAAAATGATATGCCACTGCTTGTGAGCCCACATTTCTAAAGAAGGACATGCTGCCTTGTCAGTTAGGCAATGTTGATCCTAATGAGTTGAGCACAGTTAATGTTCACACTTACACATTTTGACCTTCTAAGGTACTCTGACTTCAACACTTTGATGTTAAATGTCAAGATTTTATAAAAAGAAAAGGATAAAAATTATTTACATCAAATCAAATATCTATGCAGACTAGACCAGATTAGACCAGAGTAAACTTTTTCAGTTCAAGGGGACCTACAATAATCATCTATCCAACTGCCTGACCACTTCAGAGCTGACCAAAACTTAAAGCATGCTATTAAAGGCATTGTCCAAATGCCTCTTGAACACTGAAAGGTATCACAACCTCTCTAAAAAACCTGTTCCACTGTCTGAATACCCTCTTGGTAAAGAACTGTTTTCTTTATACACTTCCAAACTCAGCAAAATTTAAAAATAATTTTTTCATCTATAGGACCTTTCCAATACAGTTTTCACTTCCTGAAAAATTACAAGGCTAAATAATATAAGGCTAAGTAATAAGTCTTTATATATATATATATATATATATATATATTATAATCATAAATATATAAAATGTATGTAAATATATATATATACAGGGATTTGCATCTGCAAGATTGATAACTACTGTTTGTCTGTCAGACACTGTAGTCTATTGCTGGATTGCTAACAGCAGATCTGGCTGGTTCAACAACATGTCAAAATGCTGCGCTACATTGAAAGCATATATATAAAATGCTCTCTAAAAGGCCAAAAAGTATCTAAAATAATATTTTAAGGATTATTATAACAGTCAGAGATTAAGATTTCTTTGTTACTGTCTGAGATGAAACATGCTGATTTCTTGATTGCTGTATTATTTTGAGCTATAAATGTGAAGAATTTCCAAAATTATTTGCCTCCCACAGCATTATTGTCTTAATCTTTTTAGTACTGCTTCCTGGAACAAGTCCTGTTGATTTGATTCAGGGAAGCAAGCAGAGCTTGACCAGCAGTGTCAGTACAATAGGAACGATAAATTTCCTTCACACTTTAAACAAGAAAAGACTTGCCTTTTGAGAAGAAGAGATGAGATAACAGAAACAGCTGTGTTCTTCTTAGAGAACCCTGTCTTGGACACACTGGTAAAAGATATCTTCCTTTTTGATCTGTATCCAAAGAATAAAGCTGTTTAAATACACTTAGCATGCGGCTGCTGTGCTCCTTCCAAAACACAAAATAGAGAGACATGCACTGAGTCCTTATTTGCAGAACTGCACCTTTGTTCTAGGCAGAATGCTAACAGAAAACCTGCTACTTCACACTGCTCCTGCTACTTTGTAGAGCAATGATTTGATCTGACAAAGAGCTTCCAGCCAAATATCCAGTTAATAAAATCAGACCCACTGTGCTGCACCCTTTCAGAGTGAATGTGAGCAGAAACCAGCAACAGTTAAAGGCGTGAATAAATGAAGCTGAATAGTGTTTGTCGCCCTTTCAAGAAATTCTTGTACGAGCATATTCAAGCAATGAAAATAAGATTTGGTTGTTGACTGATTCTTCCCCTTTCTTAACAAGCTCCTATCAACTACAGTAAGCCTATCTCAAAGACACTGTGAATCAGACATGTCAGTACTTTTCTGGAAAGGTGAAGTGAAGGACATGTATTGTTTAAAATGAAAAAAGTTGTATAAACAGCAGTAAAGAGTCGAACTGAAGAAAGGAAAATACAGTGTAAAATTAGGAACAATTTTTTTTTTTTTTAATGAAGTCCATGATAGTGTATGAGTAATTTAGTTCTGTGGCATGAAGCAGTGGATTCTGGTCTGGGCAGTGCCATCTGTCCCATATCAAGTGTCACAGCTGGGACTGGAAAAAAAAAAATCTATATTTTTAATGAATGTACTCACATGCTCTGAATACTGTAAGTTGAAAGAAGGCTGGTTACATGAACATTCATCTTTTTTTACTCTTTAGTAAATATTCACAAACTCTTAAGTAAGGAGAAAAAAAGGTATAAAAAGTAACAGTTGATCAAATCATAGGATAGCAATGGCATTAATTGTACTCACTAGAGACATTCTTATCCCAGTTCCCTGGGGATTTTCCATGCCCGCAGCCCCCTTTTTTGAGGATTTCCGTTATGTTTTCTTTGTCTCAGGAGTGCTTTTCTACACTGCTTATGTGCATGACTGCTTTACTACCTTTGTTTATGTGCTTCTCATTCATGTCCTTCTTTTCTGGCCACTTACCAGCCAGGGAACAGCTTCCCATGTCCCATTTATCTTCTTAATAAGTCTCTTTGAGGACTTCTAGGGTCTCCATAGGAATGACTCACAATCCCCCTGTGGAAGTAGCTGTTGTCTTAAGTGCTTCCTTGACACAGGTGTTTGATCTTGTCTTTCTCTGATCTCTTTGAAGTTCTTTATTAATTCCAGAAGGGAAAGAATATCACCTGAAATCCAGGTTTCTTCGTCAGTTCAGCCTAGATGTTCCCTTGTTTTCAAGAAAGAGCGTGGAATCTCTTAATGTGCACTGTCAAAACCAGCTAACTGCTAACAAACACTTGTTCACAAGAACCCTTCCATAACTTAAATATGATTATTTGCTTTAAACCTACAGCAGATTCTGAAAAAATCACTGTGTAAAATCATTGCAGAAGCTAACTGCACTGGAGAAAGCTGGTTTAGTCTAGGGATATCGACATCAAAATGTGTGTCTTTTGGAAAGGGATTAGCGCGCTTTTAATCTCCTTTAATATTCATAGAATCATAGAATGGTTTGATTTGGAAAGGACTTTGAAAGATCTTCTAGTACACCCCACTGCCATATAAGGTGACATCACGTTAGGATGTTTGTATAAGAAGTAAAGTTCTCCAACAGTAATTAATTTGGTTGGTTTTTTTGTTTGTTTGGTTTTTTGTTTGTTTATTTTGTTTGTTTGTTTGTTTGTTTTTTGTTGTTTTTTTTTTTTTTTTAAATCAGTGCAGGTATGACCTAAGACTGCCAGAAACTCTTCCCTTCTGCCAAGGCGCCTGCGGGGAAGCCCGGCGGCGGCAGTGACGATGCTCCCACCTCCAGCACCGCGGACAGCGCCGGGCGGAGGGGACCCGACCCCCGCCCGCGGAGGGGACCCGCATCCGACGAGCCTGCGGGGCGGGCAGGGGGGCCTGGCAGCTTGCCCTGCAGCCGGGCAATGCCGGCCTTACGGCCGTAGCTAAATTATCTCTAAAGTGCGTATGATGTGTGCATGCGACGGCCATTAGTTTAATGGGATGCTAACCAGACTCCAGCCTTACCGGAACCGTGCTTATGCAAGGAGCGTGATTGATGATGATGGGAAATGGACTCACACTTGGACATACTGAACAGAAGAGCTGAATTATTTGCCCCTCTCTGAATGTAGTGTCAAAAGGGCTTTGAAACAGCAGAAGACTAGCATAACATAGCAAAGTACATTATATATATGCTGAGGTCCACTCAGTGTTACATTGGATAAATTTTATCTATGTCATAACCTGAGTATTTCACTTAGATGAGTCAGAGAGTGTGCGTGCTTCATAAAACTTATGCTCTAGGGTAGATGGTATGAATTACAGGAATGAAAAAGTATAAACAAAGCATTATTTGCATCTTATGTTGTTTGAAGGGTTGAGTCTACATACCAAATGACAACAGTTGTGATGACAAGTAGCACAATTCAACAGAGTCAACAAAATGATGTGCAAGCAAATCAGATAGTCTTTCTGAAGCTTCCAGTGCTGCCTTGTTGCTTAGTAGGTGGGAAGAAGACTGATATTTACTCAAAAAGCTTTACTTTTATTACTTATGTCCTTCTGGCTGTGGAGCACATCAATGAGAAAATCTCATGATTTTCCTGCTTGCTAGATTTTGGCTCTTGATGAAAGATCTGAACTCATTGCTGTCACATAGCACATACAGAGTAGTTTGAGCCCTTTCATCTGAAAAAAAATATTATTCAGACAAAACTTCAAACAAAAAGGCAATTCTTCAAAATTCATGCAGGCAAGGTAGCTCAGTGGCAAACAAAAAAGTGCTTTCTTTCAGTGGAAAAAACTGAATATGTGGTAGTTCTGATTAAGAATAAATGGTCTTGAGTATGTGGGTTTAAAGTAGCATTTGAGATTATTGTTGAAGAGTTCACACGTACTTTAAATGGGCTTTTTATACATTCAGTTGTAGATGCTTCTCCCATCTTGAAGTAAGAAATGCCATTCAAAAAGCAGACATACTTTTAAACAAGTGCAGCCTGTCAAGTGCTGTTCATAAAAAGGAATCATCATATGACCTGCTTTTCTGTTCAATGTGTTAGCTAAAATGTTTGTGGCACAACAATAAAAGAGATGGCTCCTTGCCATATGCCTCTCTCTCATACCTGGAACCATCAGCTGCTTAACTCCCCTCCCTTTCTCCCTCACTGCAGCCCTCAAATACAAAATACTTGATAAATGTACATTAATTATAATGTATATTAATTATAATGGTTTTCACATTCTCATATTAAATTGAATGTACATATGAAGTTCTCAAAAATGGGTGAGTAAGATATCCTGTTTGTAGGCTCTTAGATAGAAGAGAGATAATTCACAGTAGTATTTTTAGAGGTGCATGTGTTTAAAGAATAAGGTTCTTTTCCCTTGAGCTTCATATAGTCTTAGGATGAACTGACACAGATATTCGTAAACACAGAACTAACATAGTACTTCAACAAGCTGTGATTTAAGCACAAACTGAAAAATAATCAGTTTCCTCTGTTTCTGAGGGACAGAGAAGGTATGAGGAGCAGTGACATCACATGCACCCTATCCAAACTCCTGTTGCAGCTGTGGAGATAGAGTAAGCTGTGAAGCAGTCATGCCATCTCCATAGTAACAGAAAGGCAAGGATGACGATTCAGTATTGAACATGCACTATATTCCCATTGCTATGCAACCTCTTGCCTCAGGAATTTTATATGCAGTCTCCAAATAGAACCTTGCTTTTGCCCTAAACCATCTGAAAATACAGAGATTGCAGAGCAATCCTGTACTACTGGACAAGTTTGAATAAACAAAGGAAAATTTTATGTCAGAATGGCAAACCATCACAAATGTAAAAGCCATAAATATATTTGCTGAAGAGACTGTGGAATAAATTTTACACTTACTGAATAAAGAGTTTAGTGACATTACATGCTTTTAGACTCCCTCTGTTTCCTCCCCACTCAGGAAGCTCAGCTGCAAATCTTTCAGTTGCTCAATGAAAGGAGATGGATTAGATGGTATGTTACCCACAACCACTCTGTGAATCACCTGGGCAGATCTGTTGTTTTTCTTCATCAAAGAGGAAAGCAAAAATGGGTTCAAATTAAATTACTTAAACATATCAGAGGGGAAAAGGTATTTTCTATACAATATCTAAAAAGCCTCCAGTGTTTTGGAACCTGGTTATTGGTGGGTACATCTGTGTGGTTCTTTCCCAGCAGACTAGAGCCTGCTATATCCACATACCAGATTTCTCCACTTTCCATCAAGCCAACTGGTACCCAGGTAACTATATTAGTGTGATGTACTATGGTGCACCTCTTATCAATGCTTAATAGCACAGACTTACTGTCCTACTGACCACAACTTCTGGGATTCAGGCAACGTGAGCTCAGTGTCACCACTGACTGTGCTGATATACCACAAAAACTTTCACATATTGTGCTCCTTGGTTAGTGCAGTAAATTTGTATACAGACAGCACATGGCACAAAACGCATTCCTGAGATTTAAATTTGCTCACACAAAGGGCAGAACATAACGCAAAAACCTGCAGCTGGAACCATGACCTTTCTCTTTGCTTATACTTCTGAATATAATGCTTATATTTAGAAAATATGGAAGTGTGGGTAGTTCTTCTCCACATTTCTTTCCAAATTTTGTCCTTCTATTGGTACCTTTCTCATTTCTTTCCCCAGCAAATGGATCTCTTGTCTATCCCTGGTACTGTAAGATTTTCATTATTTTATTACTTTTATTGCTTCTTTCTCTGGGATTTTCTAGTGTATCTATATTAAGAAGGTTGATGTGGTCAACAGGCAGAAGGATTGGAATCCCAAGGCAGGAAAATGTAATCTGATTTGCATAGTATTTTTCTGTAATGGTGAATCTTCCACTGAAGCATCAAAAAGAGGATTTGTACATGGTCAAGGATTTAACTCACGGTTCCTGGATGGGATGGTGCCAAATATATCAGAAATCCACCCTAAAAGACTTTATTGTTAGTGTGCACAGGAAATTAAGTATATATAGCTGCCTATACTCTTTCCTGCTAATGACGAGATTCTGAATATTTTCCTGGCTTTAAAGGGAATGTTTTAATTATATTTCTTTTCAAATCTCTGTATATTTTTTTACTGAATATAGTGTTAAGGCAAGAAACCACATGTCTTAAGCAAGTGAAAGAATAAAGAAAATGTTTCTGAGATGCTGTTTTTGATATTAACATTTACTGACAAGTTTGTTACACTCCCCAGCAGTGCTGACCTTATTATGCCAGACTCATCTTCAAGCAGCCTCCATGAAGCACTGGGAAAAGAGATTAGGCTCTTTTTATAAAATACAAAATGTACACCGATCACAGTGCTCACTGAAGCAAACACATCTTATGATGACTTTAAAGCAATAGTAAACAATAATAATAATGGGGTTGCTTTTTCTTTTAAGGGAAAAACTACTACTATTCAAAGCATTGTGATGGACTCTAACCAGGACAGATAGGCAGTAATTTTGCCTGAGAATTCCACAATTAAGGCATTTGAAAATCAATCTCTAAGCCAGATGTTATTAACATTGTTATGTATGTTTATGTGCCAAGGTATTGGGAACAGGGAAGCTGCAGGGGTGGCTTCTGTGAGAACACATTAGAAGCTTCCCCCATGTCAGGCAGAACCAGTTCCAGCTGGCTCCAAAACAGAGCCACTGGCCAAAGCTGAGTCCTTTAAGCTTTGCTGGTAGTCTCTCTGTGATAACATGTTTGAGAAAGGTTGAATAGTGCTGCACAGCAGCTGTGAGAGACGAGTGAGAAAATGTGAGAGAAGCAGTCCTGGAGACACCAAGGTCAGTGAAAAAGGAGGGGGAGGAGGTGCCCTAGGCACCAGAACACAGATTCTCTTGCAGTCCATGGAAAAGACCATGGTGATGCATGTTGTCTTCCTGCAGCCCATGGAGGACCCTACACCAGAGAAGGGGGATATGCCCATGGAGACCCCTCAGTGGAGCACGCTCCTGACAGGAGCTGTGGCCTATGGAGAGGACCCATGCAGGAGAAGGCTTTCTGGCAGGACCTGTGGAGGACCCACACTGGAGAAGTTTGTTCCCAAAGGACTGTACTCTCTGAGAAGGACCCTTATTGGAGAAGTTTGTGAAGGACTGTATCCTGTGGGAAGCACCCCATGCTGGAGCACTGGAGAAGCATGAGGAGAAAGGAGCAGCAGAGACAAAGTTATCAGTTGTAAACTGACTCCAACATGCATGCCCCATCCCTCTGCTCTAGTCAGGGCAGAGAAGGTAGAAGAATCAGGAGTGAAGCAAAGCCTGGGAAGAAGGGATGGTGTAGGGAAAGGTATTTTTAATTTTGTTTCAATTTCTCACTTTCCTACTGTTATTAATTGACAGTAAATAAAAATAATTTCCCTGAAGTCATGTCTGTTTCACCTATGATGGTAGCTGGGAAATGATGTCCCTGTCCATATCTCAACCTATGAGCTTTTTTCTTGTTTCTTCTACCCCTGTCCTGATGAGGAAAGGGAGTGATGGAGTGACTGGTTGAGCATCTGATGACAATCCAAGGTCAACGCATCACAGTGGGCTTCAATTTAAACAAACACCTTTCACACTTGTCTCCATAAAAAGTTCCTTTTACATCTGTTTATCGGGAAACATTTTTAATGAGCTTTAGAAAGGTGCCAGGTATTCATAGGTTACAAAGTCTTTCTATTCTTTAGGATACCTTTGGTCTAGTTCTTACCATTTGAAGGTCTTTTCATGCCCCATTGGAAAGGGGTCCATATTCTTGGGCTGTGTACCACAAATTTTAGTCCTGTCTGAGAAACTCATAAGAGATGGCAGGGGAGTTGGAAATAGATAATCTTTAAGGTACCTTCAAACCCAGGCTATTCTATGATTCTATGATATATTCAGCTGTTGCCCTCTGTCCCTACTTCTGGAACAGGTTCACAGAAAAGCTAACCAAAGGCAAATACAAACCTGTTCACTGGAAGGTAAAGCGCTGGCTTCAGACTCAAACGTGTCATTCAAACTGCATCAGTGGTGCAAAGAGAGGATGGTTTTATCTTAAAAGGCAGAGGAAAGACACCCATTCTCTTCCTCCTTAATCTGTCTGTATTATGTAATAATACAGTCTTGCTTAAGGGAGTTACTAGAAATTCAGGATAATTTGGTAAATTCGTGTGTGCTCCCAGGAGGCAACAATAAAAGGGGCAGTGATTGAAAGTTTTACTTACAGAACAGTAAAAGTATTAGCTGTTTCTTTATAAACCAAGTAAACACCTACTTGCAGATAGATTAGGATGATATGAAATAGTAGGTGATACAGAACTATCTGAGTTTTACCACATGTAGGAACAGGACTGTCAGAAAAACTCACAGTCTTATCCTATGACCTGCCAGTGTATGAAGAACAGGTAGAAACTGAGCAGTTCTGGACAGTCTTGGTACAGTCTTTTTTGTTAGAAGCAGTATACCTGTGACTGTCTAATTCGGTCCCTTAGTGAAGATCTCTGTGGGATTCCTCATTGGCATTGTCTCAGCCATTTCAAACTGACTTCTGTTTTTCACATTTTTCTGCTGGATCTACATCTCTAATGTAGTTCCATGATACATTGCATGGATCTGAATCCCTCAGAACTTGGGAAGATCCAGCTGATACGGAATTAGTGGCAACAGCTGTTACTAACT